AGGAAGGAAGGAAGGAAGGAAGGAAGGAAGGAAGGAAGGGAAATAGGGAGGGAGGGATTTTTGGATGGATGGATGGACAATTGAGACAAAAAAATAGGATATAATAGACTTTATTTTCTTATGATTTCCATTCAATATACAGCGGTCCTTCAGTCTTCGTGTTGGTGGCGACAAAGATCATGAGTTTGCAAAGAAATACCGCATTCTCCCAACACCCATCAAGATCCGACCGAGTAAGGTAAGAAGAACACGACATGTCATTGGCTCTACTTCATCTTCCTAAGCCTTCAGTATCCATATGTAGGTTCTTTGGAAAGTAAAAGTTGGTGCTATTCTTGTCGCTTCTGATAACTAAGAAGGAAAATTTCTGCCACTCAACCACTAACCAAAAACCTCATTACTTTTCTGTGGTCATTTAAACTAGAGAAAAAGGGCTACTGAGGGGGTCGAATAGTCACCAAATATTACAAAGACATTTGTTTTGAAATCTCATTCTTATTTTCATTTGTGTCATTTGTAGCTATGGCGAGATACGGTTTCGAAAGGTCACGTGCAAGAGATGTCGCCGATGCAACTTAAACGACAAGAGGTATGATGATTCGAAGTCTTATACGACCTAAAAATACAAACTTTCATTAAAAAGTTTGCTTTGCGCGGAGATCGAGAAGATTTCATTTGAGTGGTTCAGAGTGGAAGCCATTTGAGTTGTTCCGCGACACTCAAATGGCTTCCGCTTAGAACCAATTAAAAGAAAGAAGACCTGAGCCAACCAATCATATTAATTTAAAAAATTTACTTTAGAGTCGCTTTAGCCTCTTTCCTGAAAACAAACGTTTCTTATTAATAAAATATACGATTAACGGTCGTTATCATGGAGACTTTCTTGTACAAGATATCCAGGCGCTAATAGCGAGTCCCAATGCGTTTCCAGGTATCCGGGTGGACGGGACAGCAAGGTCGTAATGCGCTTCTATATATCCGGGTGGTCGGGATAACGAGGTTTTTAAAAGGTCATTGGTCGACATAAGCAGGTTTTAATTGTCATTCTAGTATGGTAACTTGTCGTTTGTTCTGTCTCTAGGCGATGTACGAGCTCTCATCAGGTGAAGAAGGAGTCGTATCTGATCTCAAGATGATGATTGAGGTGAGTATCGATAAACACAGCTATCTTTACCTTCATACTGGCTTGACAAAATTTCATGACATTTACCTTGGTATTTTTTAGGTGTATTACAAACCAATGTGCAAGTTAAGACTGATGAGTGAATATGAATTTCAGACGATTTTTGGATGCGTGGAAACCCTGCTTAGCTTACATCAAGGTATGTACGTAAACATTGCAGTAAGTTCAGATTGCGTGGGTAGAACTCTACTTCAGCAGATCACGTAGTAGTTTGGGTAGATGTCAGTTATCACAGCCTTACTCTCCAATTCGTACTCTCTCTAATTCGTAGAAAACGTACAGAAATTGCAGCACTAAAATGGCTTTTCATTTATAAGCCAATCAAAGGGCACGAATTTGATGCTTAGCATCCAATCATGATGCTAGAATGGGGAAGCCATTTGATTGCAAGTTAACTTTATTTTCCCCTCTGGGATTTGCTGCTTTAGTTTAATCCCCCTACCTCCTTCCCTAACCTGCCCCCAAACCCCACCATCACCCCAAACAAAAACAAAAAACTAGAACTTGATATGAGAGGTAATAATGAGAATCTGTAGGCTATTTCTAATATGATTACTGCATTCATCGAATACCAAAACTCTATATAACATGATATATCTATCATTTGCGGTGATTAGGAATCGATACTTGTTGATTTGCAAACGATCGTTTTCTCATTTACTGGCTTTATGATAACACGTCTACCAAAATACTTGTTTTTGATTGGTTAATTGGCTCACAATTTTCTCTTACGCACGATTTAAATGATAACCGATTTCACCGATTTCTATATCTAATCGACGCGTTTTTTTAGATGTGTTATAAATAGGAAATGCCATCTTTAGACGTAGTTCTTAAAGAATTCGTGGCATTTTTCAGTGATTCTTCTTTTCTCGATGGTATTTCCTATACTCAATGATCAAGCTGAACCAGCCAATCTATAGCGATCACCCACAGATGTTAATCTATATGATGAACTATTCCTCTTTATTAAGACAGATACCCTTAGGAGAAGCCATATATCTAAGATAAAACAGTTTGAAGTCTTGTTAGGTCATTACTGGAATATCTCAGAAATAGGAAGACCAGACTGAAATAAATAGATAAAATGATAATTTTCTGTTGTTGTCACGTCCACATTTTGCACGAGAAAATTTCGTAATATGAAATGGACTTGACTATGGTTCTTCTGCATAGCTTCTGTATAAGCCAATCAAAGAGCAAGAAAAAACAAGGATGCTAACCAATCACAGTGCGCGCTTGGACAGATGGAAAGCCTTTTGAGAGGCACTTTACGTACGCATTCACTCATAAAAATAACTTGCTTTAGACAGAAAGGATAAGAATAGCTATGACTACCTAAAGTACTTTTTTCCGCTTTGCTCCCCCGCTTCGTTTCTTGTGTGGTGAGCAAGGTAAACGTTCTCATCGTTTTACAAATCACGAGGGATTTCCTTCTTGGCTTATGTCCGTTTGTCTGTCAGGAAGTTTCTAGATGCCGGTATTTATTTCCTATCTGTTGCTAAGGTAACGATGATAAATTAGTGGTCAGAAGAATATGATTTCTTTTCTGCACATTTTTGTGTATGTACAGTTCGTAAAAAAGAATAGGCTTTTAATTTTAGTTAGCAAATTAGATATGGAATGCTCATATCCTTTTTTTCTTGTTGTTGTTGTTGTTGTTGTTGTTGCTGTTGCTGTTTCGCTTTATCGGGTTTGGATGTTTGAATGTGAATTATTAGTTTAGACGTTTTACTCTGTAATAAACGGAAAGGGCAAGTCTACAAGCATATCTTGTGTGACATCAATGAATCTCTTTTTTCTACAGAACTGATAGACAAATTAAAAAAAGCCAGAACGACTGATGGAGCGATAGACAGCATCGGTGAAATCATGCTACATTGGGTAAGATCAATTTTGTGTTTAGAAAACTGATAATTTTATCGGTACGAGTGTGAAAAATTCGAAGTGTCGGTCACGGTACGAAACTAACGACAACCGCCATGCGTTGTGTGATCCCATCAAGCGTTGTGTGATCCCATCAAGCGTTGTGTGACCCCATCAAGAGTTGCGTGACTCCATCAAACCATTCTTCTCAATGGCTAGGAGCTGTCGCACTTCTCCCTTAGTTTACTCCCTCACCCCCACCCCCTCCCCCTCCCCCATCCAACAAAGAAAATTGTTTCGTGAAGTTTGCGCAAAATTGGAAAGTTGGTTAAATACCATGAGAAGAAGATATCGTTGTTATTTTAGGATTGTTCAGTTAACGGATAAGCAATCACTGTTGGAGATTCACTTTTGACCCGCCAATAACACGTTTGACAGTTTCTGCCAAAACAAAACCCGATCAGATCATGTGATGGCAATCATATAAAACAGCTTAGAAATCTTATCTTTAGAATACTTAAGAATTCGAAATTAATTCCTTAAGCTCTCCGTTAACTCTTCCTCAATCATTCACTTTTCCCATTTTTTCATTTTCCTATTTATCCATTTTTTCATTCCAGTTTCCACAACTAAAATGCTACACACGATACTGTGCTAATCAATTCGAAGCTAAAGCAATGCTGGATGAGAAAATGAAAAATGATGACAACGTAAAAGATTTCTTACAAGTAAGTAACGCCAAGTTTATCTACTCTCTCGATCTTCCCTATTTTCAGACCCTTAGTTGGGCTGCCTGTTTATGAAAGCCTGGTCCTAACACGGGAAGCCCAAAACATGAAATTAGAATAGAGAGAGAGAGATTGGTCTTATAAACAATCATTTACTTTTTCAGAGATGTCAAGATTCGCCCTTTAGTAGAAGACTAGATCTATGGAGCTTTTTAGGTAAGTATTTCCCCTCTGATTCCGGCATATTTTTTTATTAGCGATAGTTTAATCGATATTAGGCACTGATATTTGCCGGCTTAGAAATCTTTATGCAAAATTAAAAATTTCCTTCTTACGACCATTTTTATGGGAAGCCATTTCAATGTTACAGCATGTCGTACCGCATACACGTGCTGTGAGTCATTAAAAAAACAACTTATATTTTACAACCACCACTCCCTGTACGGGGCTCTTCCGTGAGGTTCCCTCCACACGCACTACCACCACATTCTCAGCTATATTCAGTCGTACGACAGTACTGTACGTTTCCCACTCATATGATAATCATTCTTATGGGAAGCCATTTCAATGTTACAGCATGTCATACCGTGTGCGTGCTGTATTTCAGTACCATATGATGTTATCCCCTTCATACGATAACCATTCTTATGAGAAGCCATTTCAATGTTATAGTATGTCGTACTGTGTACGTGCTGTGAGTCAGTACCGTACGTTTTTCATTCATACAAAATGCGCCTTCTAAGGCTTGACTCGGGGCTTGCTGGTACTCATCGTTCGAGTGGTTTTGTATTGTAGATTCTCCGCGAAGTCGTCTTGTCAAGTATCCTCTTATGATGAAGAGCATCATAAAAACGGCAAGTGTACACGCTATACATAAATCTGGGCCGGGTTGTTCAAAGTTGGATTAGCGCTAATCCAAGATTAACTCTATAGGTCTTATTAAGAGTTAACCCAGGATTAGCACTAATCGGGCTTTGAACAACTGGGCCCTGTGTTGTTGCTCTCAAATCAGTATTAAGTCGCATTTTCAAAAACTTTGCGAAAGTATTAAATAAAAAAATGTCCCCCACAGAGTGGAAGACCACAGCCACTACAACAGAGACCGGGATCTTCGACCTGTTTTGTTGTCGGGGAAGAGAAAAGCATTCACCATAGAATCATTTGTTGCACGTAGCGGTGATGAGTACGCAGGATTTAGAGGATTTGCATGGTGTTTCCTCAGTAAAAGAGTTTTAAATTTTACTTTTAATTTTAATTGCTCACCATAGAGCATCGGACTTGTCTAATGAGAGTTGTAAGTTCACGATTCTCATGCGGGACCATTGTCGACTTCCAAATGACCGCTGTGTTCCTTGATCACAAACTCATTTACTCAGGGATAGAATCATATCAGTGTACACATATTCACAAATACCAACAGTAAATGAAGATGCACAACTTCAATAATACAAACACTTTGAAATTCCACGGACCTTCACTGGAACACATGAATATTCTACACAAAATCGAGGCAAACCCTGTGCAACAGAGAACTCTAAACTGAAGTATTTTATGTATAACTAAATTTTACTGTTTGGCACTTTTGCCGTTCAGGAAGGGGAGGGCCAGGCCACCCAGTGAACCTCTTCTTCTAAATTTGCGCCCATTCGGTCTTCGGACTGAAGGGTTTTCTCATCGTACGCTTGAAAAGGCACTTCAGTCATTCAAGACCCTGAACCCCTTTAAGTGTCAACTTCCTGTAAACTGATCGAGAATTTTCTTTTCTTCATATAATTCTCAAGTGTTGGTGTAAGGTTTTTTTGACTTGACTTTGGATTTTTATTGTTGTTTTTATTACAGACTCCAAGAGATCATCCTGATAGAAAGATGTTAGAGGATGCGGTGAGTCGGCGGGGGAATTCAAAATGCAACGATTAGAAAAAATTTATAATGAATAAACTTGAAAAGAAAAAGAAGGAAAGGAAAGAGGGAAGAATGGAAGAAGAAAAAAAAGGAAGGATGAAAAATTAGGGTGGAGGAGGAGGAAATAACGAAAGGAAGAAAGAAAAACAAGCGGAGCATCATAGGAAAGCTTCTCAATCGTATCTTACCCTGTATCATTTTCTCCCCTCAGAAACGTTGCATAGAAGAAATCATCGAAGAAGTGGACGAAAAGACTGGTGAAGCCAAGGTTTGTATGATTAATTTATTTAGCGACCCTTGTAGGACAACGATCGTTATGCTGGGGACTTTCCTCTATTGAGGACAGAAAGAATGACAGTGCTTTTTGGCCAAGAGTGCATGCGATCTTAAGTTTTTTTTTACCTTGCGCGCATGAACTATTCGTTGAAAGGCCTCCTATGAACAGGAATTTATCGGGTTCATTTCCTGGACTCGGCATCACATTTGAGCAAAGCTTGTTAAGTATCTCCTTTGATTCGAGGGTTTTGCTTCTGGCTGTCCAGTTATCCTTTCTCCACAAAACCGCACAAGCTAATTTCCAATTCGATCTGTGAGTTAGCCGTGCCCTGACTGTAGATCAGCCTAGAGGTTGCTAGGGTTCGATCTGTGAGTTAAGCGTGCCCTGACTTAGAGCAGCCCAGAGGTTGTTTCAGGTTCAATCTGTGATTTAGCCGTGACCTGACTTTGATTAGCCCATAAAAAGTTCCACGGCGGGTAGCGATGAAATTTGGAATTTTAAAAGAAGTGCGTTTGTTCCGTGCAGTCTATCATTCCACTAAACCTTTTTTGTTTTGTTTGTTTTATTCCAGTGTCAATTCGTATTGTCCAGAATAGTCTTTCTTTACGACAACAAGGTAAGCCATGTAGCAAAAGAAAACCAAACATTTAGCTGTTACAGTATATTCTTTAAAAAATATTATCCTTATGATCTTGAATAACATTGCTTTTTCCTCGCTCAAATGTTGTTTTTTTTCCAGATGTCTTTCCCAGAACTTTATCAATCAAAACGAATGATCTGTAGTGGAACCCTAAAAAATAAACATGGAACGGTAAGACATTTATTTTCGCGCATTAGTCCAAGTTACGCGAACTGTCCATTTCTGTTTGAGCGTTTTCGCGCGTGCGCAGACAATCTTCTCGCGACTTTTCCCAATCAGAACGAAATTGAAATTGAGCACGAAATTTCGCGCGTAAACTGAACAATAAACACAATTGTGAAAATTGGGTCCAGTTCTGGACAAGCATATTTCAGCTGTAATGTTACCTTAGCTCAGCTTTAGCCTGTTGTTTTGTTTCTGTTGTGTTGACGTGTTTCCGCCCTTTCTTAACCAGAAACTCCAAGCATTTCTTTTCGAGAAAGCATTCCTGTTAACGCGACCTGCATCAAGAAGTGGCAGACAAAGTTACCAAGTTTTTAGTGAGGTATATAGTTGCGGACTTCTTATGGCTTTATTGAGTATAAAGATACGATGATGTAATGTGCGCGCGTTTTCCATACTCGACCAGAGCCCGGTTGTACGAAGCCTGGGTAGCGCTATCCGGCTGATAATTCCTTATCCATGCAGTGAATAAGTCGATGCAGTTATCCAATAAATTTATCCACTGGATTTATTCGTCGGATAGCGCTATCCAGGCTTCGTACAACCGGCGGATAAATCCTTATCCAGTGGATAAGT